AAAAACTTAAATCCATATAAAAACTTCACTAACTCTATGCAGATCCTCATTATAAGGGTGATTCCCTAATATTTCCTTTAAATATAGCCACTTTTGGTCCAGTGAACTTTAAGAAAATAGACTCTCTTAAAACTCAGTTTTCAATTAGCTTTACTTAATTTGGGCACACTTTATATTAGGTGGCCTTAACTATACCATTTGATACAACTATGTAGCTACATGTTGATGCATTGTAATTACATTAAAAGTACTTGCATTTAATTAGCATTTGTAGATACACTTTACCTCTCAACCATTACACCAATATCTAACTCTAACCCTATACCTTTCCTCCCAAATATAACCATACATCAAACTTAGAAGTAAATGCGGGAATTTTCCAGAACAACATGTAGTTGCACAGTTGCGTCTTGTATGTATTTATTGTTACAGTTAAGGCCACCTCATATAAGTGAAATCAAAATTTTTGGGAATAAAATGGAAAACTCATTTGTTTTGCAAAGGGAATTTGCAAAGGGAATTTTTATTTTCAATTTCACCTAGCATTTATGTATGGTAAATACACATACTAAAATGTTCATACTTGCATAATTTGTCAACATGAAAGCTTGGCTGGATATGAAATACAAATAAACGATTCTGTTCACAAGAGATATTTACCTTCATTTTACATCAATTTCCTTTGTCACTTTTGTAATTGTACTAATGCTGATCTACATAGGCCTATTAAATCTTTATATATCTTTATAAGACAAGTCATAGTAATTTCAAGAATGTTACATGTGCAAAACGTGTCAAAGTTGAATAGACAAACGACTTTTTTCCTACCGTGGATGGATCCAATTATACAAGGTAGTAAAGAGACTGGCGCGCAATTGAAAACAGATTTTCGGTAGCTCAGGAACACATTCCCAAGCACATGAAATTATAATGGTATTTCAACTGTAATCATATTTAAATCAAACTGACAGCATTAAGTACACGATTTTAAATCATGTCATCTGCAAACATCAAGTTGAAATGCTTATATAAACAAATGTGCTGAGGAATCGGCGAGACTCAGCCAGATCTGGATCCCATGGTATGAAGAGATTAAGTTAGTGGACCAATTTACTATTCAGCATAAAGTTCCTAAACATTTGACGACGAAATACAAATGTTTATATATTTATTTACAGTGACTCCAAATCTAGTTCAGGTCTTAAACAACGTCTCTGCGCAAAGAAAGGACCGTTGAACACTGCTGTCCATTCTTAAGAAATACCTGAGAAATACAAGCGGATGAGGAGAAAATAAACTTCCGTTACAGTATTCTTTAAAACACATATAAGTATGCATAGCCTATAATTAAAAAATGCATTGATATCTTTTATTGACAAAACTGAGATATAATCTAGTGTAGGCTACCTGGCGTCCAGCTGCTTTCTCTCAGACGATCAAGCTATTCAACAGTAGCCTATTTGACCCTTTTTCCACAAAAGAGTAAACTTTTGAGACTCACAGACGAATAAAAAAGGCAGACCATTTTTATTTTTCCCTTACCTCTAGTTGTTAGTCGGTTTCTTCCCACACAATCTTAGCACAGTTTCATGCGGTTTGTATTTATGCACAGAACCTGAAAAGCATCCAGAAAAGAATGGGATACCTGTTTCAGGAGCGAGACCTTGTATGAAGCAAAGAAAGGCACCTAATGAGCGGTGATAAATTACTGTAATGGGAGTGAATTGCCAGCTGGACAGTCGTGCGGGTGGGAGAGAGAGAGAGACAGAGAGAGAGATGGGAAAGACGGGGAACGGGGGGAGCAGGAGGGAGAGGTGGAGCTGACTCGTGGACGACTTCACTCGAATGAAAAAGGGGCAGGATTTATTTGAGGAAAAACACACATAGCCCTTTCACAGTTCAGGAAAAGATTTTCCTACAGTCCGCATAACGGAACGTTCTTCTGGTCAGACACGTATTACGTTTGTAAATTTGCATAGAGGGATTTTGATCTTCGTGAAATTTAAATCAAATGCTTAATTGTTTAAATTAAATATACTGTATATATATTTTATTAAATCACGTTGCTAGTAATAGGGTAACATTTTACAATAACGTTTCATATGTTAATATTAGTTAACTATATGAACAATGAGAAATACTCCTAAACCATTCATTAATCTTAGTTAAAAATTTCAGCTTTTACTAATGCATTATTAAAATCAAATGTTGTAGGAAGACTGGGGACAGTTGCAACAAGTCTTATTCCTCCAATCAAAAACATGCTAGAGTTAGACCCTCCCCCCACCAAGAAGACAGAAGACATCTGCTGCTGTTTTTTACAGTCTATGCTGCTGCTGCATTTATTGAACAAAACTTGTTTTGTAGGTATGAGAGTAAATTTTTTCATGAGCTGTATTTTTGTCATACTGTCCTGACCTTTTGTATGAATTAATAAAAACTTACTTAGTTTGAATTATTATTTTGTTGACTTTAAGTGACATGGTTAGCATGTGTCAATGTCAGTGTGTCTAGCTAGCATATGATGTTCTGTCATGGCTGATAGGGTTGGGGACGGTTGCAACAAGTTGTTGCAACTGTCCCCAAGCTAAGCAGCCATATCAAAACAGACCACACAACAGTATTTTTTCAACATAAGTCATTGTGGGGTACATAAAAGGATAGTAAGAAGAAGGATAGTTTTATTCTGTTTATTTTCAGTATGCCACGAGTGAGGAAGAGGGTTACTAACAGAGGGGTTCCCCTCAATATTTTGGAATGAGCATCAGATGTAATCAGGGATGAGGGCAGGACAGTCAGGGCAGTGGCCAAGGACTTCGCCATCTGTCACACCACCTTATTCCGATTCAATAAAAAAAAGAGAGAAACTTACAGGCGAGGGATCGGATAAGTACCGAGAGCAGGGTACTGGACCAGCAAAGTGTTCTCTGAGGACCAAGAGAGGAGTCTCAGAGAGTATTTAAAAAGGGCAGCTGACTTATACTATGGGTTAAATCCATATGTAAGAAAAACAAATTTTAACAAGAGAATTATGTAGCCTATATAAGAGAGAGAGAAAGATAGATAGAGAGAGATAGACAACATTTACTATTTACATTTTATTTCAGGTTCGGAAGTTTGCCTTTCAACTAGCCTCTCACTACAACTGCAACTTTCCCCCAAAGTGGAGTGAGACCAGAATGGCTGGTGTTGACTGGTTCACTGGCTTTGTAAAGAGGCACCCCACTCTCTCGATAAGGCGTCCCCAAGCCACAAGCCTATGGAGGGCAACCAGCTTTAAGGAAAGTAAGGAAGCATTAGAAATCGATAAAAACAAAACTCTACAGCAGAAGGCAAAGAAAAGAATCAGAGAAAAGAAAACCATAAAGAAAAATGTAAAGAAAACCACAAAGCAGCCAAAAAATGATAAGAATCTGACTCTGAAGAGGAAGAAGACATCTGCATTGTGTGCCTGAAAAGCTCGAAATCCAGGGAAGTATGGCTGCAGTGCTGGATGTGCAAGTCCTGGGCACATAAAGATTGCACAGGTGGAGGGGATTTTTACACATGCCACAACTGTGACTCCGAACGACTGAATTTCCGGGGAAGTGTGTGCGTGTGGGGGGGTTAAATCAGTTTTTAAAACAGTTGCAGTTTTGTACAATAAATAAATACATGTTTGTTGCATTGCAAATTGTTCAATTCTTCCTGACTGACACTGAAATATGGAGAGATTGAATAGCATCTGTAACACCTGCACACTGAATCTATGTAGGCCTATGTTCTACTCATAAACAAACAAAACTCAATAACTGTTATTTGATCAATATGACTAAATAAATAAATAATACAATAATATTATTGTATAAATAATTAATACTATAATATTATAGTAAAACAGTTAATATTTTCAGAATTCTATGCTCATTGAGACAAAAAGCTAAAGTTAATTAGTGAAATTTAAGGTATTTTTAACATGTTGCAACCGTCCCTGATTGTGTTGCAACTGTCCCCTGGGTTGGGGTCAGTTGCAACATCTGGCTTCTTCCATTTGGACATTATTTGGCTGCTAGATATGTCATATGTAATCATCTTTAAATGGTATGGGTAATTAGCAGACAGATGCAAGTTTAATATATACAAATTTGTTTGGTCTAGTCCAAATAGTCTCTGTGAGAAATGCAAAAAAAGTGTTGCAACCAGTCTCCCTATCTGTAAATATTATTTGATGGACCTGAGCTAACACGAGCTAACAATGAACAGTTTATTATTAACTGCATTTTTAACTAACGTTAACAAATAAATACTGTAACAAATGTATTGCTCACTGTAAAATGTTACCAGTAATAAATTCGATTTAAATGTTTCTGCCCGTCTGCCTACCAAAAGCATGAGGAAGCCTAATTATATTGTGATTTACCCAAGTAAACCCAGAAAAGCGCTATATAAATGTCACAAATTATTATTATTTACATCTTTTATTACAAAGAAAATGTACAATCATTTGGATTAAAAAAGTACATTTTGTTGTAGAACACAATACGCAAGGCATAATATTTACTGGTGTAGGAACAAACTGCCTATTACTTGTACAAACATGAGAAATCAAGCAAGTAATATACAAAAGACTATGAGAAGACGGTAACAGAGCACATGTTGGCTTTGTGTTGTTTCATACAATGTTACAGCAACAGGGACACCAAAATTATTCCAAAGGTAAAAAAAAAAACCCCGATAGGAAAGGCTCTCATCTTTGAAGAGGAGAATTATCCATATTGTAATATTTTTTGTTCACCTCCCTAATAATAGGTCAAAGTTTTGCCCGGTCCCTTTCTCTCTAATAGTTTTTTTTATGCAAAATGCTGTCAAGCAACACAACACTTGTTTTCTACAAATATAATATGAGCTACGTATATCCATGACATTCTGATTCTGAACACTGAATAACTGTTTTCATACACCAGACCTCTACAGCATTAACGTTGCATCAGTTAAATAAATAATAGAGAAAAAAAAGGTGCTTGATTAATATCTGCATGTTTTTGAGTAAACGGCTGTTTGATGCAAAATCAATCCATAACCATTAACGGTATAAGATGATAGCTGACACATTTCAGTATGTAAAAAGTGTTGTGAGTGTAAGCTATAGACCGGATCGTACTGCTTTATTCTCATATCAGCTGTTGATTTTGACATACCATAATATAAGACGTTGAAAAAGTTTAAAGGGTTTAACATTTTTAAAGCTTGCAGCAATTCCTAAAACTAGTATTGCCATGTGGTTTATCCTGATTTTTTGACCTGAATGTATAATATTATTATAGTGACTATAATATATTTGGTATGTGGTAGATGACAGGGCTTTGTCTTTATAGTTGAGGGCATGGTCTGATATTTGAAGGCAACTTTGGTCTGTTTGCATATATATGTCTTTTGGTAAAAGACATGAACTAAGATTGATTAGTAGATCAGGATGGATTTGTTAATTCCAAAAGTGCACCAACCGCACCAAAATATCCCTGAAAAACACAAATAAAATGGTTATGAGTGATTTTTTTAGATATTGTTTGAGCTTTGGATGTATTATACAGACTCGCACACACCTCATGTCGAAGGAAAAGGGCTTTGAGTTGTCCTTTGCTCCAGTAGTCCAAAGCATAAGCAAGCAACTTCATGGATAACGTGTTCACTCGCAGAAAGTTCCCAACAAACACCACTCTTTCAATGTTCTAAATAGAAGAAACTCATGATAAGCATTCATCCTGAAAATGCAATTTTTTTAAAGAGAAGTTTCCAAGGAGTTGATTGGCCCCTGGTCTCTCATAGCCCTGTACAATGCTGCTTGATCCAGATTTCACAAGGCAGCACCGTAAAGAGGCTGACAGACAAGGGCTAGGACAACATAATAGCGATTTATAGTGTGGGTGTACATGTGTACCTCGTTAAGTGCACACATGCGCGTGATTGAGCCAATGTTGTTTGTGATGGTGACAAGTGTTGCTCTAGCCAGATCCTCCTTTGAGACCGAGTCTCTCTTCTCCTTACACATCATGTTCCCAAAGCTTCAAAAAAACATACATACACATTATATTGATTATGTGTGTCATAACAGAAACATTTTTAAATGATACATACACATTATATTGATTATGTGTGTCATAACAGAAACATTTTAAAATGATAACAGTATCATATAATGAATAACGTTGTAATTGTTCGCCATATAGGCCTACATGTATAAGTAGTATACACTCTTAAAAATAAAGATACTTTATTGGCATCTATGGTTCCATGAAGAACATTTAAAGGGGTGGTATAATGCCCCTTTTTACAATATGTAAAATAACTCTGTTGTCCCCAGAGTGTATGTGAAGTTTTAGCTAAAAAAACTCCACAGATAATCTCCACAGGTAAAAACGTTGTTTCGTGTGTCCCTTTAAATGCAAATGAGCTGCTGCTCCCGGCACAGAGGGCGGAGCTACAACAGCTCGTGTGTCAGCCGCTCCTCACATAGGTATTTTTATAACCGGAGTTTTTCCTACAGCGTTAAAAAAAAAAATCCCGTCCACACATGCTCGGTCTCGGTCTACATGAAAACGCAAAAACACGCTATCAAGCGCGGTCAAGAGCATGCCACGCCAGCAGGCGGCGATATAAACCTTAACCGTAAAGCCATGTTGGCCAATCAGAAGCGCAAATCTGACGTCAAACACAGCTGATAACGGCGCACACTCTGACATCGCAAGGCAAAACCCCCAGTTTTACTGTCTACACGACAACACTGTAACCGGCGTTTCTGAAAATCCTCACCCTGGCGGGGGTTTTCAAAAATGTTCCGTTTCAGTGCGTTTTCGTGTGGACGAACGGCCGAACCGCGTAAAAAAATCACGGTTATAAAAATACCCGTGTCCGTGTGGACAGGGCCATAGACAAGCATTAAAATGTCAGAAACTGTTCTGCCTTTTATGTTTAAACTGGAGTCGGACAATGATGGAGAGACTCAAGAAGAAGTGACAACATGTAGAATACAACAGGATGTTTCTGAATGGTTAGTTGATGAATTTATGTTGCTGATGTGGAGTTAACTATCTTCAAATCATTGATTAGCATCGATAGCTTGAGCAGCAGACTCACAAATGTGCTTGTCTACAACAACTCTTCCTCTTCTCAACATGGACTGCGTGTTCCCGGGGGCGGGGTATATGTACATTTTAGGGTTGGTGATGTCACTAACCTGGGAGGAATGTCGTGTAGTCCCTATCAGCTGTTTGTTGTAGTCCTTAAAAACTATTTCTTTAAAAGCAAATATCTTCCTTTGCTTTGAACTTTGAGCGTTGTAACTTTGCAGATGTTGTTTATGCTCAAACAGCAACATTACACACTAACTAAAGTTAGAAAAGTGAAATCATAATCAACCACCCCTTTAACATCCATAGAACCTTTCCATTGTACAAAAGGTTCTTTATAGTGGAAACATTTTCTGTAGATTATTAAAATATTATTCACACTAAGAAAAACATGGCATCACTGCGAAATGCTCCTTTTGGAACCTTTATTTTTAGGAGTGTACCATTCAAAAGTTTGGGGTAAATACGATTTTTTTGGAAAGAAGTTAATACTTTTATTCTACATGGATCATTAAATTGATAAAAAAAATTCAGCAAAAAAACATTTTTAATGCTACAAAAGTTTTCTTTTTTAAATAAATGATGTTCTTTTATAAAAAACAAAAACAAACGTATTAATCAAAAAAATATTAAGCAGCACAAGTGTTTTTAACATTGATAATGCTAAGAAATGTTTCTTGAGCACCAAATCAACATATCATGTGAAACTGAAGACTGGAGTATCGGCTGTTGAAAATTTAGCTTATTTTGAATTGTAAGTTTATATAAATATAAATATATATTATTATTCAATAGTTTTTTACAAATAGATGCAGCCCATTAAAGGGTTAGTTCACCCAAAAATTCTGTCATCATTTACTTACCATCATGTTGTTCCAAACCCGTAAGACATTCGTTCATCTTCGAAACACAAATAAAGATACTAATTTGGAAATTTGGACTAAATTTGGAGTAAACCGCTCTATTCATATAGATTAGTTTTACAATCTCTCTATGAACTTTATGAAGCAACAAAGTGGTAGTTGCGTAGCTGTCAATGGAGGGACAGAAATCTCTCAGATTTCATTGAAAATCGTATCTTCTTTTTTGTGTTTTGAGATGAACGAAAGTCTTACAGGTTTGGAACAACATGAGGGTGAGTAATTGATGACAATTTTTTACATTTTTGGGTGAACTAACCTTTAAACATAAAAAAACCCCATTAAAACAAACATAACAAATGCCCCTCAAATGTTTGAACCGTAGTGTAAATGCCTGTACCTGGAGGCAACAGCCCATCCTGGCAAGCCAAATCGCTCATAGTCACCACCGTAGATGTCCCTGACTAGTTTATCTACACGTGTACTTTCCCCTTCAGTGGCCATTGCCAATGCCTCCTCAAAGGTGGAGCATCCAGTCAACAGGCAACACAGCCCTAGAAATGTACCACCACCAAGACTGGAGGGGAGATTGAGAAAAAATTACCATAGCTTTACAGTAAAATCCATTTTTATTTTGTTAAACCGTTTTGTTAAACCTATTAGGAAATTAATGCAAAATTATAAAGCCATGACCGACCTGGTTCCAGTGACACGCTTGTAGTTGTCTTTGGAGTATACAGCCAGTATGCTGACACCTGAGCCAATGTTGACAAGCAGCAAAGGATAGGGGTTCTCCAGGTTGTATGCCCTCTGCTCGCAACAGTCAGGTTCTGTTGGGTTCTCAAAATAGTAACATTCGGATAGACCACTTGAGACCACCGAGTCAATATACAGAACTCCCTTTATCAGACAGTCCAGCTCATCTAGCTTCAACAGCTGCAGATTGGCTATCTAAGAGAAGAGAGACAGCACAGTGAGCCATTTAGTTAAACAGATTGCATAGAAGTGAAACAACGTGAGCTTGGACATACTGTACTGAAGTTATTCTCGTATTTAAATGCACCACCTCCAGTGGCACAGAGGGTGGTGTGCAGACTGGAGAAGTGCTTGTCTCGGCCCATCTGCAGGAAGGTAGGCAGCTCGTGCGTAGGAAAGCGAATGAAGTGCAGGCTGCCCTTGCGACCCCAAAGGGATAGGTCAGTCAGCTCCAGGTGGACATCTCGAATACCTGTTTTGCCGTAGGCGGTGTGTGAGGTGAGGTAGTGACGGATGCTTTTCAGACTCTCCACCTCCTCCTGCTCTTCTTCTGCTGTAATGTCTTTGGGCTCAAAGTAGACCAGCTTCACCAATGTGCCACCAATGTCCATGCCAAACCACGGGAAAGCTGGGGACCAATGACAGGTTAGTGACTTGAGTACCTTGTGCATTTTATGCAAGTAAACAAGAATAAAAATAAAAGCTTATTTTTAAATAAATTGAAATGTAGTTAATGATTAACTTATATTTCTCATAAATAAAGTAGAAATATTGATTATTCGTACAATCACTTGGGCAGGGTTAAATGGTGGCACTTGACAATGTCAACACTACAATGAGTAAAATTGCCAAATTTATTAATATTAAATATTAGCTTAATATGTTATTATTAAAGTTATTGTACTTGTATCAAAACTGAGATGACAGATGCACATATATATATACATACACAGACCGGCTGTTTTAGGTACACCTATTCCACTGCTTGTTGATGCAAATGTCTAATCAGCCAATCACATGGTGATTTAAGTGACTTTGAGAGTGGTGTGGTTGTTGGTGCCAGACGGGCTGGTCTGAGTATTTCAGAAACTGCTGATCTACTGTGATTTTAACGTACAACTATCTCTAGGGTTTACAGAGAATGGTCCGAAAAAGATCAAATATCCAATGAGCGGCAGTTCTGTGGGTGAAAATGCCTTGTTGATGCCAGAGGAGAATGGCCAGACTAGTTTGAGCTGATAGAAGGGCAACAGTAACTCAAATAACCACTCATTACAACCGAGGTGCAGAAGAACATCTAAGTGGAACCCACAACACGTCAAACCTTCAAGCAAATGGGCTACAGCAGCAGAAGACCACACCAGGTGACACTCCTGTCAGTTAAGAACAGGAAACTGAGGCTACAATTTGCACAGGCTCACCAAAATTGGACAAAAAAAGATTGGAAAAACGTTGCCCGAGTCTTGATTTCTGTTGCAAGATGGTAGGGTCAGAATCTGGCGTAAACAACATGAAAGCATGGATCCATCCTGCCTTGTATCAACTGTTCAGGCAGGTGGTGGTGTAATGTTGTCGGGGATATTTTCTTGGCACATTTTCTTTGGGTCCCTTAGTAACAATTGAGCATTGTTTAATTTCCACAGCCTGCCTGAGTATTGTTTCTGACCATGCCCATCCCTTTATGACCACAGTGTACCATCTTCTGATGGCTACTTCCAGCAGGATTACGCACCATGTCACAAAGCTCAAATCATCTCAAACTGGTTTCTTGAACATGACAATGAGTTCACTATACTCAAATGGCCTCCACAGTCACCAGATCTCAACCCAATAGAGCATCTCTGGGATGTGGTGGAACAGGAGATTCGCATCATGGATGAACAGCCGACAAATCTGCAGTAACTGTGTAATGCTATCATGTCAAGGCTTTTCTGAAGGCAAAAGGGGGTCCAACCCAGTACTAGCAAGATGTACCTAATAAAGTGGCCAGTGCGTATGTGTTTATATATATATAGCGTATAATATACGTCTGCACAATTTTACTTTAGTGTTGGGTCGCAAATTATTGTCCAATATAAAATACCTGAAAAAATTAGTTAAGAACAAATTGCTTATTAAATTCATCAACTGGAAATTAGACTGTATCAATTCCTTGCGCAAATATTCTGTATTGTGTTACGTTTATTTCTAAATCCAATTATACATCATCTATCATTTAAACAATATTTAATTCCAGGACTAGTGCTTATTTTGTTTTTGCAGATAAAAAGGAATCTCCGATTTAAAAAAAAAAATTCTAGCAAGTGTTAATCGATGTTAATTTTGAGCGTACAAAATTGACAAACTTTCCTATAAAATATCTGACAACAGGTTTTATTTATTTATATTCGACATTTTTATCACTATGATGTGAGCATGAGCTCCGTTAACCCCGTTATCGCCTTAACACAAGATGGTTCACCTACGCGGCCTGTTCTTTTTCAGCGAATCGAGCCTCAGCATCGCCGGCGTCGATTTTGACATCCGCTGCTCTATGGGTGCACTGCCACCGGCCGCTCCACTGTCTGCTCCCGGTGTAGCAATTATGCTACATGACGTCTCCGTCTTTGATCGAGGCAGCTTGAGCGCTGCCGATTCTTCCTCTTGCTCCTCGGCACATCCCTCGCCGTCACAGTTAAAGCCGTTCAGCTCCATTATGTCGTTTGACAAAAATCTCTACATCGATTGTCAAGCAGAAAAAGCACCGTTAACACATATAAATGCATTGTCAGTATTTCATTTTGTTATTTAGGTCGATCTAGAAAATGTTTACGTCGCTGTGTTTACAACAGTTACTCGAGTCACCAATGAATGCGCTTCTCCTGTCAACTGAAATCGCATCGAGCCAATCAAGTTCTCAGTCTTCATTGGCGATCAAGTTATCTTCATCACCAGCAGATGGCGCGCTTCACAATAACAACACTACACGCATCATCATCATTGAGTAAAAAAAAAACCTTACAGTCTTCTATGCTTATGACTGACCGACCAGAAAGACACAAGGTAAAACATTTTATTTCAGAAGCATTCCTGCCTGGAAATCATTAAGAGTGCGCATGATCAAGAATGACCAGCACACAAAAAACAAGACAGTTTAGCCTAAGTATAAATATTCCCCTAAAGTAAAGGCCCAGAGTTAAAAAGATCAGTAGTAACAATACCACATAATGCATTTAAAATCATGTTCAATCATACATGTCTAAACTTCATATCAAAAAGTGTAGATACAAGTGCAATTGCTGATTAAAATATTACATTTAGGCCTGGTTTCACAGAAAGAGCTTGGATTAAGACAGGATTAGGCCTTAGTTAAATTAGAACATTTAAGTAGCTTTTATAAACGTACCTTAGAAAAAAATATTACTGGTGTGCATTTTGAGACAAAACAATGGCACTTATAATATATTTCAAGATATGTCAGTGCAAGTTGCTTTCAATGAAGACAGCTTGCATTTTAGTCTGGGACTAGGCTTAAGCCTAGTCTGTGAAACCGGGCATTAAAGTGTACTCTGTTCGTTCAGAGTCATTCACAATGTTTACTTACAATATAATTCAGTTTACTCTTACACAGATAATTTGATGCTATGAGCATGAATCAAAAAAAAAAAAAAAACTTATACAATGTAAGATAAAATGCATTTGACAAAAATTATCTTATTCAACTACACTTCAAAATGGACATAAACACTTATACAGACACAAACCGTATATATATATATATATATATATATATATGGGCTGCAATATAGACCTAACAGATTTTTACCCTCCACACATTAGACACTTGGTTTTGTTTGAATTTAGTTGTATCCATCTTAACAGTTACTCCACTATAGTTAGGCCTACCTCTTACAGCCAGTGGTGGAAATGGCCTATAGATTTACTCTGGGGCGGGGGGAGTTGGGGGCATATTGTATATTTTTAAAACATAGATGTAGAAATATCCTATTACATTTATGTATGAAATTTGAATAGCGTTTGGAGGCTATTTCATGGATTTCCCACCCTTGAAATTCACTCTCTGGACTCAGTACCCCCCTCCCACCAAAAAAAATAGATTTTTGTCAATGGTGGAATGCTGCATGTGTGTATGCTTTGATGTTCCAGTAAAATAGAAAGTGTCTGTTGGACAGTCTCACAGAGGTCAAAGTGCCTGCGAAATTCAGGACAGTGATGAAATAGAGAGTTCACTAAGGTGTCTGTGAATGAGGATTCATGAGAAATAAGATACGTTTGAGAACAAACACTGCTGCAGAATCTCCTGTGAGGGGGCTAACGGAGAGGGTTGGAACAATTGTACAGTCTATTACATAATGCTTGAGCAAGTGCTCCAAATGAGCTTTCTATTAATGTCCAATAGAGGTTATGCAACAGCTCCTTATATTCATGGTCCGTCACACAGGATATATTCTTGCAATGTTTTACAATTGACAATACAACCAATTGTTGTACAATGTAAAACCTGTCAAGCTAGTTTTTACAAATTATTTAAAAGGTACATGACACTCCATTTATTAGCAGTAAATCTGATTTTACAGGTGCAACGGCAGTCAAATTCATTAACAGCCCTGGCATACAAGGCATGCATTAGGCACATGGCAGACAAGTATTATATATAGCCCCAAATATATGCACATTAAAAAAATACATAAGTTTGGTGACAGAAGTTATGTAGGATTGAAGGCAAGATTTTCAGTGAGTAACTAAAATTTCAGTCTGCTCCGGCTTTAAAATACTTGGTATATATAGTGGTATGGTATATTTTCATGGTACGTTTTGTCATTTTCTAAACTTGACAGCAGCAGTTACTATCCACTGTTGTTCTTTGGAAAAGAGCAGCCTGGACATTCTTCTTAATAAGTCTCTTTTGTGTTTCTTCAACAACAACATTTTTTTTTATGGGTTTCATGAAACATGAGGGTAAGTCTATAATGACAAAAATTTCATTTTGGGGTGAACTATCATTTTAAGACCTTTTCAGTTAATGCTTGAGCTTCCAGGCCAAGAAAACAGCAGACAGAGCAATCCCAGCAGCAGCAGCAATGAGTTGAAAGTTGTTTATCCCGAATAACTCTGCATAGCCCTCTTCTCTCAGTTCTGGCTGTTGAATAGTTGCTGGCCTAGCATTAGATTCTTGCTCTTGGTAGTTGATGGTGGCTGACTTCTTACGGTCTGATGCCTCTGAATCATGCCCAGATGGATCACTGAGAGGAACTACATTTTCTGTGCCACTATGGTTCAGGGTATGCTGGTCTCTGCTACGTTGCAGCATGCTTGGTGGCTGACCATTCAAATTTTCAGCAGGTGGCTCCTCAGAAAACCGGATTACATTGACCAGTGTCCGACTATCACAGAAAGATTCATAGTGGTCTTCCTCTGGCTGGTTAGGTGTCGAGGGAGCAGCAATGTCATTTAAGGACTGAGAAGCAGAATCAAGGGAAGTAAAGGGAGTGGAGGTCTGCTCTGCAAGACTAGGAGACCGTCGAGGTTCTGTGGAACACTCTGTTGCTCTGCTGATCTCCAAATCACCTGAAACCACTGAGCAAGGCTGTTCTGGCAAGACAGGAAGAGTCTCTGCTCTGTTCTGCTGGGGTTCTGGATGCTGAAGGATGCCAGGTTTGCTGAAATATTCCTGGTCGATGGAAGAGTGAGGGTCATCAGTAGGTGCAGATGATGTTGCCTGACCTGTTCTAGTCGAATTTGTTTGGCAATTAAAAACTGGTAATCCAGCAGTGTTGTTCCTCTGAACATGCTGCAGAGAAAACAGAAGATTAAGGCACAGAATACAATTTGTTTCATCTTAGAACTGTACATTCTGACATATGGACATTACTTGGGCACACATTCACATCTGATAAAAGATTACTCTAAATCTAGATTAGCTTGTTCAGGTGTGTTTGATTAGGGTTGGAACTAAACTCTGCAGGACAGTGGCCCTCCAGGACCAACGTTCCTCACCCCTGCTCTAAATTGTAATGTAGATTTAATGTAGCTGCTTTGAAATAATATGTATTGTGAAAAGTGCTATACAAATACTTGTGAATTGAATTGAAAACAAACTTGCTATATTATAGCTTTGGCGAAGAACAACAGTGGAGTGCTTTGGTTTGAGCATTACCTCGTTTGCAGTTGGGTCAGAGATCTCTTCAGGCCCCTGAATTGTCCTTTCCTCTCTCAATGGGAGATTAGATTCTTGGACAGGGACCTTCACAGAGGTGCTGGTGTCCTTGACTGCGATTGGCACCTGGATCTTCTCTGACATCTGAGAACTCTGGGAGGTGGTGCAAGGCTGTGTAATTTGAATTTGAGAAGTGTTTGAGGAGGATGCTTGAGCACTTGAGGTGGAGAGGAGAGTTTCACCAGTTGATGAGGAGTTGGTGGTTTGTTCTGTTAAAGCCAAGCCATCTGGAGTATCTAAAACAGGCGTTTTGTTCTCAGCAGGCCCTATGAGGGTTGGGACTTTGGAGACTGAGACTTCAGCAGGGGGAGGTGTTTGGGAAGGAGCAACAACCAGAGGTGCATTTTCAGCTGGGGATACTGGTTCAAGAGAAGGTGCTGGAACCGGAGTAGGAAGTTTTTGCACTTGCTGTGTCTCTGGAACTTCGAGAACAGGAGCAGGAGCAGGAGATGGTTCTGGTGCTGCCATGTTGGAAAGGGCAGCTGAATGTGCTGGGACGTCCACGGCGGGTGGAATCAGCAAAGAAGAAGTGGTCGCTGGGACAGTATGAATTGTTGCTGTGATTACGGTTGCTGTGGCACCAGCTGGAGTAGGTGCAGGTCTAGGCACAGGTCTAGGCACAGGAGCAGCAGGAGCAGCAGGAGCTGTATTATCTATAGACAAACATAAACAAAAAAGGCATTCATAAATAATGCCCCTCCTTTTCAAAATTTGCTTTGAACACAAGCAAGATAGCTCTTACTTGTGATTCCTCTGATCCTGTCATAAGCAGTTCTCATCTCAGCGGCCAGTTCCTCATGTTCACAGTTCTGCAGTGCAGTGATGAACTCATTAGGCCAGTTCTCTCGTCTGCGTAGATTGTCCAGAAGTGTCTGCATAGCAGTGAAGTTTCCAGAAGTTTCTCTCTTGGCTTCAATCTCTTCCTGCAAAATGTAAAATTCTAATTAGTAAACAAAAACAATTTAGCTAACTGAGCTTTTCACTCTTGCATATCTGGTTATAGTGGTGATGTTATGTGTGGTTAATGTGATCTGGCTTACCCTGTCAGTGAGTGTGAGGCATGGCAGGTGAGGTAAGATAGCTCTCACTTTGACTGTTGATGAAAAGCGAGCCAAATTTGGCCTGATCGCTTTGTTATAAAATTGTTCACGTGTCAATGACATTTTTGCACTTCGAAAGAGAGAGTGATAGAAAAAGAGTTTTATTTAGTGATTTATTGTCATCAATTACAGTAAATAAAAACACATACTTGAATATAAGTACCTGTTTTAAACAGTAAAAATCAACAGCCTCTTCTTTGTTTCCTTGAATCTGGACTCCAAATTAGCCCTGGGAAAAGAATTAGAATTTTTTTATTCATTCAAATCTTTGCGGTGAAACCCTTAAAAAAAAAAAAAAAAAAAACTCTAATGTGAAGGTTAACTGTGAATTGGCTTAAATTATCATCAGCTAGGCAGAGTACAATCTACTGAAATATGATTGCATCATCTCATAATCCATCATGAATGGCACTTCTGGATGAGGAAAGCTTTCAACTAAAAGTGAAAGTGAAACTGGTGTATATTGAGAATTTTAGGGAAATCCTTATGTTTCCATTTGGTCTTCATTAAAAAAAGGGTTGCGAACAGAACAGAAAAATGAAAATTCATTTGACATAACTGCAAACAGAAATAAATGTTTGTGAAAATGTAGAGCGGATGTGATGAATGTAAAGCAGATCATTGTTGCAACATTTACTCCTCAGTACAGGGGATGTCCCTGAATGCCCCCATATTTGCCCAAACTCACAGGAGTACAACATTATTCACTATATTGGGATGCCAGGGCCACACCATGCCCCACCCACCCACTTAACCAACCCTTAAAGGATTAGTTCACTTTAAAAAAAAAAACTTTTGCTGATGATTTACTCACCCCGATGTCACCCAAGATGTCCATGTCTTTCTTTCTTCAGTCGAAAAGAAATTAAGGTTTTTGATGAAAACATTCCAGGATTTTTCTCCATATAATGGACTTCAACTGTTTGGGGCCCATTGAAGTCCATTAAAAATCCTGTAATGTTTTCATCAAAAACCTTAATTTCTTTTTGACTGAAGAAAGAAAGACATGGACATCTTGGATGACATGGGGGCGAGTAAATTATCAGCAAAAGTTTTTTTTAAAGTGAACTAATCCTTTAATGACGCTATAGCTTCACCCCAAAACCGGTCTGAGACTGCTGGGCTGGCCTGGCGCTGCTGTCCTCAGACTGCTGTGGCATATTGCTCTGCTGCTCTGCAGTTGGTTATTATTAAATGATTCCCCAGTACAACGGTGAGTAATGAAGAGAGACCACAGTGTGTTGTGTACCTCAAAATATTAGCTACTGACAGTATATGAAGCCAAACATGTTAAGACGCCACAAAGGCTACGTAACTTCACACTGTGAGTCCAAATCCGTCCAAAAGTTTGGGAACCACTGCAGTAGAGAAAAATATTTTCAAGCCCCAAACATGCGCCTGCGCCCATATAAAGACACTCTCAGACATGACCTTACTTGTAAAAACCTAGAATTTTACAAGTGCCCAACCCCCTTAATATTAATATAAATTATTTGATGTTCTTGATGTGGATGTTTTAAGTATTTCTAAATTGTGCCACCATGTAAAGAGTGCATGCATATATATTTTATGTTATTTTGGGACAGACAGATCAGATCTCTACCTCATATAATATGCCAGTTAATCAATATGTGTGCTAAGCTTCTGAGCACATGAACAGTATATCTGTAAATAATTTTCATTTGTGATGAACATTTTACCATTTAAACATTTAAATAATTTGCACTTAAAATGGTCATTAGTAGGCATATTATCTAGAACTGCACCGCAAAGTGACCTTGAAATGGATGAATAATTTAGTATTTCTGTTTGGCAGAGAGCACAAAACTGATGTGACCTGGACATTACCCAGCTAGTGGAAAAATTAATGATCTCTAAACATCAAAGCATAAACTACTGCTGTTCTGCAACCAATTGCTCCTCTTTCCCTCAAAATGTCAAGTTACACATATGCTGTTCCTAGAAGGAAGGAAATCATGTACAAAACTGGCATGCCAAAATCCAATGGAATAAAGTGACATCTCGAAGCCCTGCTCTTCAACAGATACATGTACCATTTGACCTGTTCAGTCTGCCTATTTACTCACAATAAATAAAAAATGTGCCCATTCAATACACTCCATATAACATTTTATAAACCACCAGGACACACCTACTGTACTCATTCATTATAAGTACTATTTTCCACATGTTAGATTATTAGTATAAAAGTAGTATATCAATAGAATAGAAAAAATATACAGTATAATAGTACTGCATAATGTACAGTATAATACTAATTTATAACAGTATACAATATAAAAAGTATAACAGAATAAAAGTCAACAACTGAAAACAGAGATGGTATGTGAATACTTTTCAAGAAAGTATTCAGTCGTGTGTAACTAAACTTTTGACATTCATACCCCTGAAGCCAGTCCAACCAAACGAGCCCAGAAATACAGTCCTACCTTAGACAAGATTGCCAAAGCAGACAAAGTCACACAAGCATCACCTGCATCTGTGACACATGGCAATATGCAGTGTGGTTTGTTCACGCTTTACGCATCAATTCTCCTTATAGCCAAAAGGAGGATTCAGGCAGACGTCGGGTTCAATCGACAGAATAACGGTGAAGTGGGAACAGGTCATCAGAAACTTTGGTCTGTTTGCACTTAAACAGCTCAGCAATTATAATCTGTTGTCAGATTCAATGACAGTACTGATCTTTTAAACTAAGGCACTGGCAGGTTAATCCACAGTTCATGTCCCTCAAAGGTCAAACATGAAATGGTTTAACTGGAACAGAGCCATGTGTATTATCTGTCATCTTGTATGATAACAGGCACATGAGGGTCCATTCACTCTTCTAATAAAGACACACTAAACTAGACAAGTATGCAGGTGCTGTCCTTCCTCGGAGCTAATGTGCAGCCAGCCAGATCCAAGACTATTCACAGTTTTTAATAAATTATTATAGGGTTTAAAGCACGAGGTTGAGGTCACAATGACAGACTTCTTAATTGGCTTCTGTTCAAGGAAACTGGCAAACCTACTCTCATGAAGAATGTCCTCTAAACGACCGTACCGTTTCCCTGTAAAATCTTGAAGAAACCTTGTCAAGTACTTTGATCACCAGGAAGCACCTACTTGTCTTGGTATCCAGTATACCACACTTTAAAGTAGCTATGCTACATTGTGCCTGACTTAGAACAACAAAGAAAAAACCTTTGAATCCCAAGCAAACATTCTAAACAAGAAAATATTCGAACCAATTAGAGAACATGTGTTGTAAGTCGATTTTACGAGGAAAAAGTAGTCGCGGGATACAGAAACATACCAAACGCGCATAAAATTATAACATTTTGACTTTATGCGACGGGTATTGCAATCCGGCTGTTTGTAAGGAGAACCCTTAGCATAACTGGTGCGCGAGCTTTATGCATTTACACATGAAACAAAAGTAGGCCTACAGTATAATTAACGCACATAACAACTAACATTCCTGAAATGTAAAGTGTATTTGAACTTACCCTTTAGAGGAAGGTCAGTCTATCAATTCTTTCGCAGACTGAGACACTTTCGATATGCACGTCTTCGTTCCAGCATTTAAGGCACAACCCTCCCCTGTCATCACACGCTGTTTGTCTTTTTCATTGGATCTCCGAAATGTGTTTCAACTTGTTACAATACGCCACTAAATTCTCGTATTTCCGTGTTGCTAAAATGATTTTGGAATATTATTGGAATGGGACGACTTTTAAAACCTTAATATTATTATTTGTGGGCTATCTTATGGTGGCAGCTAGGTGTAGTGATCTAGGGGACGAACTGAGGTCGAAACTCGAAAGTAAACTAAAATTATGCCTGGTCAGATAGACTTTGAAATACATGATTACATATTTTAATTATACAGCTCTTAAAGGTATGGTAGCTGTAAAAGCTGATAAAGACGCCACTGATAAACTCTCCGAGGGAACGGCATGGACGTGCTATGATACTTCCAGTTAAGTCCCTCAAGCCGAAGTTTTTGTGGCCCGGGTGATATTGTCACCATCAAAAATATATATTAAATGTGTAGATATAAATAGACTGGGTGTGGGTTGAACCCTATGGGTTGAACAGTGTGTGTGCACTCACTGCGCAGACGCGAGTTTTCAGACATGCGCGTTTATGCTTGCACAGTTGACCGAAATAGTCAAGTGGTACTGCCTTTACTGTCTATGCTCACTGCAGAGTCAAATGACGACCAGCTCCTCCTCTCTGGAGCTCCAATGGGGTGGGATTAGTCCAGCTCCTGCTCTCTGGAGCTATGGGTGGAGGATAGAGTTGTGGATAGGGTTAGGGTGTGGTTGGATATTCTAGCTCCACCCATGATTAGACCCATTACATTCGCTCCTCCTCGCTGGTGCTCTAGGAGGAGGAGCTACACGTAAGTCTAAGTGCCACAAGTCATTAAATTTCCTACCATTCCGATGAAGTTATAATTTTTAAAGAAACAAAACTTTTTTTGTTAAAAAATGACCGAAGAACACCATGGGTTAACACAAGATTGGGCATGGCCATATGAGTGGAGCTGTACTACTCTCATTTCTTTTCTCCATCTTGTCTCTATCCACCTGAATTCCCACGCTGACTGGTTCTTTCACCCTCTTCACATGGTAATGGCTATTATTCTATAGAAAATGCATTAATAATATGAGAATATCTCCTGAGGCTATATGTGTCTACATATGGGCCACTAAAGGTAGAATGCTGTGTACTTGCGTAACAAATGTGCTTATGTTTAGCTAAAACAAACAATGCAAATACCTACTTAAATATTGTATAACAGTTCCTTTTAATACTCTCTAAAGTAAATACATTGAGTGAATAAATATTTGTAGGCTAAATTAAACTGCCGTAAATACTTTTGGCATTAATATCCGTACTAAAATTTTCAAAAGTAGTGGCATGTTCTCAAGAAATATATGTATTTAAAATACACATAGAGACTTGGCATACACCAACAACAACAAAATCTGCCAAGCTGCTATAGGTTATAAGCTGTACAAAATAAGTTCAGCTTGGTTAAGGTCACATCTGAAGAGCTTCTAAGTACACATATACATATGCATTTGCTTATGTATTCCAATCACATTTGTGGTGATCATTCATTGCTGGCATATTGTATGTCACAGTATGTTCACCCCTGGAAGAGTAAATATCCGAGTGTATTTTGTAGAAACCAAGAAGGCTTTTAGCTGAAAGAACTGTAATCTTTTAAAAGCACCTAAAGGTAATCATCCATTCGGCACTAATACAGCCTACACTAAAACAGCATCCACTGTGAGGTCTTGACTGATAATACAGCATGCTCACGTGGTTTTTGTGGGCCACAGTCTTTCCTTTCATCTTTTTTCATCACATCTTTTGATACCACAAATAAAGACTTATATAGGCCCATACAGTACCTGTATAGTCTCTGCCGAAAAATCCAGCATTGCTTGGTCACCAGCATAAGGTATGTTTTGCATACTGGGACCATGGGAAGCTATGTTTCTAGCAGGAGTTCTGTTGGACAAGGTACACCAGCTCAGTTTTTGCTTGAGAACAGCTTGACTATGCTGGTCCACCAGTAAGACCAGCACTATACCTCTAACCAGCATAAACCAGCCTGGACATGGAATTAATGCTGGTTTATGCTGGATTTTTTTTTATCATGGGTAAAAAGAGTGCAATGCATGCATGCAAATATAATATTTTTGTTAAACATTTTTCAACAAATCACGTTGAACGTTCTGAAATGTTAGCCAACATTCTAAGTTGCATTTGAAATTAACCAACAACGGGAATAAACGATACACATTATCATAATTTGTAAAGAATTTTTTTATTGTTTACATACTTAAAACATTTCAGAGTCAGAACATATGATATATTAATTAAACATACAACAGACAAAACAGAAGCTGCCTAATGACAATAAGATTCATTACTTCATCAAAATAAAAATAAAACTTTTGGGCCTTGTGTAACTATCCAGGGCAAGCAGAAAAGGTTTCCAAAGTCAATACATGGATTAGTCAATACATGACTAAACAGTTTATTTTACAAGGTGTCTACAAAATATTACTAGACTTCTGTCATCACTTTAAATAAAGAATTATATTATTCAGGTTCCAAAGACCAACATAAGATGGTATGACCATTTGGCAGCTGGTTTGTTGATGGTTCACCAGTTTGGACCAGCTAATGCCTATAGACAAGCTAGATTCAGCGATCATCTTAAACTGGAATTTCCAACCGGGGAACGAAAGAGGTCAAGCGTTAGAGTTCAACATTACTTTGATTCAGTCGTTCCCATGGTAACGGGTCACTTTCCTCCATTACTGTGGTGTTTCGCCGTTCGCTCCAAAAATGCTCGAGATCTGGGAGAGTTTGACAGAATGCATCTGAATGCCTTTCTGTCATGGTCACACATCCCCTCTCATCCAACACCTTCATAACCATTGTGCGCATCTCATTTCCGTTGCCCTCAATTTTCAGCCTGTGTTTAGCACCTCGACAAGCCAACAGCGAACACAGATTGCTAAGACTTTCTCTGAGCGGCACATGCATGGTGAGAAGGATGGCGGGAAAGAACATGCTGCTCAAATAAATGCACACCTGGGCGAAAATCAGCAAACCGGCTGAAGGTTTGCAGCTTTCGCCAGAACTATGACGCATCCACACCCAAGAGGCCCATTCAGGTAGCATCATGAGCGTGTTCATGGCGATGACACTTAAATACATCAAGGAATTCTCATACTGGCGTGAAAGAAAAGCCTCCTCGTCGGTACTCGGTTTGATGAGGAAGATGGTCCTGATGTGGGACACAGCAGAGAGGATGATGGGAAGAACATAGATACCCAATGGTAGCATCTTACTGAACACTCGCATAGCATCTTGGGAGTGAAAGGTTAACTCAGAGACACACAGACTGATATTTCCCTCTTCCTTTAACCTGGAAAAAACGATATCAGGAGCTGGAAAGACGAGTGCAACCGTCCATATGAGCACTAAGGTGATCACGACGTTCTTTTGACGGAAATTCGACTGGTCCTCGGGATGGGTGGAAAAGTCATGGCGTGCTTGACTCGTCGCAAACAGTGTGAAACCTTTGACCGCCAGACAACTATGCTGGATCCACTCAGAAGTTCTGCAAGCCAGTGGTCCGAGTGTCCAAGAGCGGTTGTAGTGTGTGAGAGCGCGCGCGGGAGCGCACAGAGAGAGTATCAACAAGTCAGTCGCGCTCAAGTTGGCGAGCATGATATATGCCTCGGATGCACTCTGGCAGGCAAAAACGTACATTAGTATCACAAGCACCAAAAAATTCCCGCCGATCCCAAGCCCACTGATTGTGCTGAGAATAGCCGGTACGATTACTTTAGTATCTTCACCTTCTAACTGCTGAATGCCACCATTGAAGCTCACAAATGTGCTGTTTGCTGCCATGTCCAATGCCAGACGTAATCCAGTGGGAACTACTCTGCTGTGGATGCACCTTTTAGTGCGCGCGCTTGGCTGCACAAAACGATATTTTAAGAGATGCCATTCACTGTCGTCCAGCATCAACGTCATCGTAGCTGTAGGGAAACACAAACCCAGATTTGTCTATTGTGTGTTGGAAACATAGCCTACTAATGGCGTTGCTCTTTTCTCACCAGTGCAGCTTGAATGAAGTAAACAATCCCAAAAAATCTTAGGCTATACTTTTTGTGGATTGTGTTTTTACTGTGCAAATGGTGACTGAAGTCACTGATCATGATCATAAATATACAAAATATTTGAGAAGACAACCGTTCAGATAATTATCAAAACATTGACTAGCCTAACTCTCATTGTGATCTTAACCACTTCAAGAATTATGAATAAATTGAGGTTTACAGTGGAGTCTGACAACTTACAGGATTTGGGGGAAACTATTTTAAGTAAAATAAAATCATGTCTGCTTTTATATATATATATATATAGGTCCTATAGCATCTCCTGTGTGACTTACCACTGAAAAAAAAGTGTTTTGCTTTTGTCATATTTTTTCTTACATGCATTCTTATGTTTATTCTGGCTGTATTCAGGCATCTTGTGGCCCTGCAGTCACTCTTTCAGACCTGCTTTTACAATTCAGGGCCAGTGCATATGTACTTTCTTCTTGACAATGCCCTTGGCTTTTCATTTGCAATTTCTAACAACAAAGAAAGAGCAAGAAATGTTTGCTTAATGTGCACAAAGACAGCCGGGGAAGTTATTTTTATCCCTCTTGGAGAATTTCTCTGACGGTCAAAGTAATGTTTTTACTTGAGGGACCAGTTTTTATAAGATTCTACAAACACACACAATCTTTGGCTTTTCTCTCCGCTGTCAGTCAGTGCTTTTAGATGCATGTATGTAATTACCCCTGGGGCATTACAAATCTCTTAATAACACTCTTTGACATAAACAATGTGAAAAATCAGGGCAGCATATTCAATGGAATGAATTTCAGCAGGGGATCAGCGAGAGTTTTCTTATGTATTTGGAAAAAAGCAAAATATGATCTCTGAGACAAACAGATAATCAAACTTCCCAGTCATCTATCCATTCTCCAAAATTCTGGCCATAGGGTTGTGTGGATGGAGCCTATTCTAGAGTATTGGTCAGGAAAACACCCGGGTTTAAATGAACTTTCCTTTTTTCAATATAAAATATATTTTTTTAGTGTAAACAAACTAACAAAAA